TGTGGTATTTTCCGAGATGATAGTCAAGTATAAAGTCGTCCAAATGAAGAGACGGTTTAGGTCTTTATTAGCCTACGGTTTACAAGAGAGATGTAATTGGACTTTATGTAAAGTGGTGGTGATGTATATATGTGATGAATCGCTTTTGCTAAGTATTCCTATACCCCTTGATTTTTTGGTTTAATATCTTAAAAAACTCACCAAACTTGTTAATATTCTGTCCTGGTCTATTCCTAATTAGCAATATTACAATATTCATGATTTATGATTATTATACCTTAATTTCATTTTAGTACACGAATATGGGAAATACGACTTCTTGGCAATGATAGTTATAATTTAATTGTATAACGTTATTCCTTTCTTATGTTCGAAGTAATTTGGATTACTGTAAACAGTTTTTGATTGTTGAAATGACCGAACATGTTGGTCCTCGTACTGTAAATAGTTATAATTGACTTGTAAATACCGGTTCAAACATGTAAAATGTAAACATTATATCATACAAAAGCCTGTACAAAAATGATGAACATTTGTTGCATTTAATAAAGTTTAGAAACGAAATTCGCAAACCAATTTAGCAGCCGTCTTTATATCTTCTTAGGGAATAGTGATGTATGAGTATGACTGTGCCCAGTGGCTGATCCAGGGGGGCGGGCCCGGGCCCCCTTCCCCTGGCCAAAAATGGGTTTTAAAAAGATGGTAACGTTAATTTTACCTTTAAAAAAGAAAGAAGACGGGGCCCCTCCCCTGGACAAAACAATTATTTTGTTGTTGTTGTTGCTCAAAGGGGGGGGGGTGAGTAAAAACAAAATAGAGCTTCATACCCCCCCCCCCCCCACGTTGAGCCAAAAAGAAAAATAGTGCTCACTTCCCCCCCCCCCCCCCCCCTTCCCGCTTATGTCTCAGCGAAGTGCTACTTTGCAAGATTAAGTATATTTAATATCCCCTAACCATTAGTAGTGCATTTTAATCATAAGGATGTCATCTCTATGATTTTAATACTGATGATATTAAAAAATTTCAATCATAACCATATACTCACAGAGGAAAATCCTGGATCCGCCACTGACTGTGCCCTCTAGTTTGTTAGTTATATGATTCGAAGAAATCATGTAATATTTATATGGGACTAGTTGTCGGTTCGTACATTTATACTGGGACGTTTTAGAACAGATTTCGTATGACTAACGTTGCAAAAGTGACAGTAAATGTACGTTCATTATTCTTTTACTCATTCGTCTCTTTTTTTCTTGTTCTTTTTCTGAAATACAATACAAATGATTGAATATTTGGTTAAATTTCCTTCTATACGTCCATTTTGTTCCTTAAAATACAATCATCATTTTGAAGAGCTTTTAAATAATATATTATGCATGTTTTTTCTTCTCCCTCTTGTTCTTCGTTTTCTTCCTCGTCTTCTTCTTCTTTTCCTGTTACTGCTTCTCCTTCTCTTCCTCCTCCCTCTATTCCTTCTCATTATCTAGTATGTTGAGTTTTATAATTGCTTCATCATTGCCATAGCCCCAACTATAGGGCCTTTGAAATCTCGCATCCTAAAATGTCATCGTCACTTTAGAGGGCCTGCCTATTTTAAGATTTACCCGACAAGAAAGAAAGAAAGGGAGAGTAACAAAGAGAGAGAGAGAGACTGTGTTAGAGTCATGGGGAAAATAGAGGAGTATTAGCTAAATTCTCTCAAATAAATTTCTATCAGACATTTCTATCACTTTGTGTATATCCACACGCTCTGTAGCCCCCCCCCCCCCCCCCACACACACACATTGTTTGCCCATGCACTTCATAGTATAAAAACACTTAACGGTCCAGTGATACCGCTAACGTCAATATCTATAACATGCAAGTTCAAAGGACTTCTTGCATATAATATTGGCATTCACATGTGGTTTGCAAACGATAAAATCTTGCAGACTCATGATTGTAGCCTTGTCCCAAGCAAACATGACCTTCTGATTATACCAATTTACTGATTTTAAAAGCGATTCTTACATTTTGGAAGCTCACAATCTCACGACCGTTCTGAGGATTATCTTATATGGATACACAGATAAAATTGTATAAATCTAAATTAAATGTGTATATGTAAACATTAGTCAATTAGTCTTATTAGGTCACACAACGTCCACTTTTTTTCTGGGCATACTATGGAAGCACACCCCGATCTTCTTCCTAATCCCAACCCAAAATATTTAATCCTCTCATAGTTTTCAACATCCTATAGAACTATGAGCTTAGGGGGGAAATGGAAAAAAAATGTACTCCAAGCATACCTTATGTCCTAAATATCCTTTTTAATGACTGTATCGTTGCTATTGTTGTTCTTTTCGGAAAAGGAAAGAGGGAAATCTACCCTTGCTTTTTGATCGTTTAAATCTCGAATTGCGGTGTCACAATTGAACCTCGCTATTTTCAGCAATGCTCTTTAAGAGACGTTTCTGGACCAAAGTCCAATATATAGTACAACCCCTCATCCTGACTTCCATTTGATTTGACTTTTGAGGTCGCAATCCTAGACCGTGTTTATGAACCATTTCAAAAGATGTCACGCATGGTATGTCAACCTAGTTTGAGAAAGAATTTTAAACAAAGCCATGCACAGATGTACGCTCTGAATACAGCAATGACTTGCAGAAGCATGTATTGACGTACCTGTAGATTTTTAGTGCTGTTTGATACTCATTTTTGTTGATCAACATGGGTATGGCGTGTGATCAGCCATTGATGACCGATAAGGGGCACTAGAAATATTAATTGACTGGATGAATATGCGAAAGGTATTGCGTCTCATTGTCTTTCTCCTCCCCCTCCAAGGCGCGGATCCACGGGCCTAATTCTTCCGGCCCGGCTATGGCAACCCCTTTGTGTAAAAACTAGATAAACTCAGTTTATCAGAAAAACTGTGTTTATCAATGATAAACTCAGTTTATCAACTGATGAACTGAGTTTTTCTGATAAACTGAGTTTATCAACTGATAAACTCTGTTTATCTGATAAACTCTGTTTATCTGTTGATAAACTGAGTTTATCATTGATAAACTCAGTTTTTCTTGATAAACTGGGTTTATCAACTGATAAACTGACATTTTCTGATAAACTGTGTTTATCTGTTGATAAACTGAGTTTATCTGAGAAAAACAGAGTTTATCTGAGAAAAACAGAGTTTATCTAGTTTTTACACAAAGGGCTTGCCATAGCCGGGCCGGAAGAATTAGGCCCGTGGATCCGCGCCTGCCCCTCCATTCCCTTCTCCGTCTCTCTCTCTCTCTCTTTCTCTCCCTCTCTCTCTCTCTATCTCCCCCTCCTCTCTCTCTCTCTATTTATCTCTCTCTCTATCTCTCTATCTCTACATAGGCATATATATATATATATATCTATGTTTCTATCTAGGCCTTTCTCACTCTGATTCTCACTTTCTCTCTTTTGTCGCCATTCGATTCGGGTGCATGTGCCCCCCCCCCCCCCTATGGCTGCGTCGATATATATTATTTGTTTTTCCTTACTAGCTTATTGTAGGGGAAATAGTGGATTTGGATTTGCCCCCCTCCCCCTGAAGAAATACCAATCAACCCCCCTCTACCCCCGCCAAAACAACAACAACAACAACATAACAATATTCAGAAAATGGGTGAACAGTTATCCCAGTTATCAGCAAAAAGTGCACAATTTCTTATTCGTACTGAGCAAACTGGACTTTAACAAGTGGCAAACGGTCATCGGTCTATTATCGTAAAGGAAATATAGCCTCTCGATTTGGCAATGTTCCATATAATTGTTTACCTTTCGATTGTCTGCTAGCTTGCTACGTGGATATTGTCGTTCATTTGAGAGTACGCTTTCTTCAGGGTAGAAGGAATTTATCCAGGATCTAGGATATCATTTGGAATATTATATCCAGGATCTAGGATATCATTTGGAATATTATATCCAGAATCAATCTAAAATACAACGTAAGTACGCATTTGTTGTTATTGCTCGTAACAATGATAGGAAGAAATATTAAATAAATTTAAATGTATTCCGACTTGTTTTGTTACTGTTTAGATGCAAAGGAGTTTAAATTTATCTTTCTCCAAATGCAAGAATACTGATTAGCATAGTTAGCTTAATTTTGGTAAATTGATGAAAGAGGTATTATGTGCTTCATATTTATCATTTCATTTTGAGATACTGGAAAAGCCTTTAAATTCCTTGATCTGAAATATACTCCGGGCTATATTACATCAAAGATGCAGTGTGATTTACACTTGGATTGGTTTAATTCTAAATCAAAGGTTTAGGGTAAGTTATATTTGCTCTAAGGCTGAAATTTGCGATTCGACTAAAATTCCTAATTGTCAGCGTATCAGTAATCGCTGGAATATATGTCGTTTAAATCCATTTGCCGTACACATTCAGCTTCACACATTTATGTAAATGACTTGAACACCAAAAGCTTGGGCTCAGCCCCCATCAGCCCCCCCCCCCCCTCCCACACCACAAACAGATTGTTGATTATAAATGATTTTACGCGAGGCACATGTGGGAAATTGAATGCAAGACCCCTCATGCACCCTCCCCGGAAAAAAATAACAAACAAGTTTGTGCAGATATCATGTAGAAAGAAAGTATGTAGTCTGACAGTAGCAAAGAAAACAATGTAATAGACTCTTCTGAACGACAGGAAAAAGGACGTTCTGGATTTCAAATTAGTAAATATCAAGTGGTTACTATAAGGGGTCAACTCACACTTCATGTGCGTCAAGACAGGCTTCTAGTAATGAAGATCGTATTTTATACATTTTACCTTTGGTATGGTATGGTATTTATTCCATTCTTCATAACAAAAGACATATACAAAACATACAGAGTATTACCCCCCCCCCCCAAAAAAAAAAAAAAAAAATTAAAAAAAAAAAATTGTAAATACATAAAATACACGTAGAAGGGTAACATTACATATAATAAGAATATAATAAAATTAACAAGGAAATAAGTTCAGAAGCAAATTTATGTCGAATGGGTGGTCAACATAAAAGAGCATTTAGCCTTGTTGAACGTTGACCCCTAAAGAAAGTACATAATTTACACCACATTAAGAAGAACAGGAAAGCAGGTGGAAGCAGTAAAAGGGACTAGGAAAACATAATACAGAAGGAAAAAAATATACGAATATATACTTCATAAATCAAATATGATACTCAAGTTGCCGAGTACAAATTTAATAAAAAAAAAACAATCGAAAGGAACGTTTAAAACTATATACAGAAGGTTGATTCTTTGGATATTTTGGAATAGTACTCCATATATGAGGATCTTTATCAATAGTAAAGCATTTAGTATTAAATATTTGTTCTTTAGATTCATCAATGTCCATCATGGGGTTCACAGAGGCGGAACCGGGATATTGGTTGCTTACTGGAGTAATTGGTCTTCTCACCGCTTGGTTGGTCAAACATCTGATAACCAGGCCCAAGAACCTTCCACCCGGACCCACTGGACTACCTCTCCTGGGTGTAGCCTGGCAAATCTTCAAGTACGTGCTTCTCATTACAGTATTTTAAAAGCTATAAACCCCCTTGTGTACCTAAAACTCTATCATTTATCTCTCCCGCCCCGACCCCCCCCCTCTCTCTCTCTCGATCTCTCTCTCTCCCTATATCTTTATCTTACTTTCATTTTCATTCAATCCGTCTCCTTTTGATAACGCTAGACCCTTTCCCATCTCCCCATCTGTCTCTGTCTCTCTCTTTCTCTCTCACATACACACACACGTTCTCTCTCTCTCTCTCTCTCTCTCTCACTTACTCTCTAACTATCTATCTATTTAAATATCTCCCCCCCCCCCTCTCTCTCTCTCTCTCTCTCACTGCCTCTTCTATCTCCCATACCTATATCGTATCTTGTTACCTCTTCTTCTTCTTCTTCTTCTTCTTCTTCTTCTTCTTGTTCTTCCTCCGCTATTTCGGAGATCAGCGATCCCATGGGCCGCAAGACATATAACTAAACAGGAGCACAAGGTAAACATCAAGGTAAACATCAAATTTTGACTCCGTTGCCGAAATATAATGTGTAATATTTTCTTGTCAATCGCAGGGGTGGGTCGGATCCTCTTGCTCTCTTCGCATCATGGTCCAAGAAGTACGGTGAGATCGTATCCTTCTACGTTGGTCCGAAGCCGATCGTCATCCTCAACTCCTACCCGGTCATCTTCGAAGCATTTCGTCATCCCGATCTCCAAGACCGACTCAGCAGCCGATTACTTCAAGAAATAATGGGATTAAAGAACAGCGGTAAGGATTGAATAAAATTGGCAAGTTATTTCCAGAAATATGATAACTCTTGTGCAATGGAAGATAGCCCTTCGTATAATAATTTTGAGTATCAAAGGAACTCCCAAGCCTCGAAAGGAACTTCCGAGATCCATCCGAGTAAATCAAAATAATCACCTTAACTCCTTTCAGTAAATGTCGAAACGAAATCGTCTTCTCGATGAAAGAAAAATAAAAAATAAATAAAAGAACATCATCAAGGGATCTAACATCTTTTAAAGCCCCGTCACTAATCCACTACTCATCTTGTGTAATTTCATTTTATTAGTCAGATTAAATTATAATATATATATAACCATGACAATCCTATCATCATGTTAAACTCCATGTTTGATATCTTCCAAAGGAATTGGTTTTTCTAACGGAGAAGTCTGGAAGGAGCAGCGAAAGTTCACCCACTCTGTATTCCGGAGTCTTGGTGTTGGTAAGAAGAGCTATGAGGATACCGTATCAGCCGAGATGATCCAGCTTTCTTCAGTCATCAAAGAAAAGAAAACTTCTCCTTTTGACCCCAGCACTCTCTTTGTGCAAGCCGTTTCCAACATCATTTGCTCTATCATCTTCGGAACACAGTACACATACGACGACGACGCATTCAAGAAAGTAAGCTGAATATGTATCATCCTGACGTTCACTGATAATTCCTGTGGATTGTCACATCTGTACTTGAATGACAGTTTGTGAAATCATATTAAAGATGATCAATTTTAGTCAAACTGATTTTAAGGCAGCCTCTATGTCGCCCATATTCTCTCTCTCTCTCTCTCTCTCTTTCTCTCACCCAGTGGTGGATCCAGGGGGGCGGCCCCCTCTCCTGGCGCTCAAGGGCGCGGTGGATGTTGAGAAGAAAAAAATCACTGTTCCCTTCCCCGTTGAGCAAAAAAAAAAATGAGTGCTCACTATCCCCCCCCCCTTCCGAGAGATGGCGTTATTCCATATTGTATTCATCATGTTCATTATTTACATCTCGTCTGTTTGGAACCAGAAGGGCGTTAACTCTGTGCAAGTTAATATGAATTAACGCTCTTCTGTCTCCAAACCTGGGAAGGAACGACTATAATACATGTATCCTACGACCACCAGGTTCCCCCAACTCTTTATACAAGATAGTAAGAGTTCTGCTTTCCTTATTGTCACACACATCATTCTTAAATAGCCTAAGACATCATTTTTTTTCTCTTTATATAGATTTTGCATCTCGTGAACTTGAACGTAAAATTGTCGGGAGGGGGCGGATCGTTTTTGTTTCTTCCCATTCCTGGTATTTCCAAGATTCCGTTTGGTAAAATGAAGCTCATGACAAACACAATTCGGAGCTTGAACGCCTTCATCCAGTCTCAGATTGAGTCTCATGAAAAGAATTGGGATCCAGAAAATCAGAGGGATTTCATCGACCAGTACCTCAATAAGTTGGATGAAACCAAGGTGAGTGAAAGCAACTATTAAAGATAGATGCGTTTACATTCTACAATTCTTTGTTTTAGTGGTCATACGATTTATGGTTCCTATACGTTCTATTTGTTCTGCTTTTCGTTGGTCCAATCCTAATACTAAACCTAACCTTAAAATTCACCTTAACCCTAAAACTTACTCCCGCCCTCAACTTTCTAATGGGACGTAGGACAAACAGGTTTCAAAGAAGTATGTAAAAATCATGGGACAACCACAGTTTGTTCACGAAGTCCATATTATTAAATTGTTTCTGCATCCAACATGTTATGTCATTATTCACAGTGGATACTTTCACAAAATCAGAAGAACTAAATACAAAGTATGACCAGGGAGGTGATACCCTGGTATGACAAATGTGAACCACAGTGTATTGATATCGGCAACGCTCTGAGGCGCTACAAAAATCACCTGTTAGTATTCTGTTAGTGACACGTATCACAATTAAACAAATACCAGAACGTTGCATGCACTCTTAAGGCGGCCCTATTAACAAAACGTTATTAAAGGCAATTCTTTCTGCTTTCGGCTGCTTTCAGGACACAATTTCTTCATTCAACAAACTCAATTTAACCGGTTGTATCGCCGATCTCTTCCTTGCTGGGTCTGACACGACGGCTACTACCCTCAAGTGGTGCATCCTCTTTATGATGGCCTACCCACAGGTTCAGTCACGTGTTCAAGATGAACTTGATCACGTGGTTGGCAGAGAACGAATCCCAAGGCTGGATGATATCAAAGATCAAAGACTCTGGGGCCTTCAAACCTGAAAGGTTTCTGACCGCAGATGGAGAGCTTATCAAGAGAGATGAACTCATCTTTTTCAGCAGTGGTAAGTCAAGTTTATTGGCAGTTATTCGCCACGTGATGAATATTAAGAAACACATCATTTATTCTTTCGGACAAAAGACCAATATAACCTGCTTTCTCAAACTTATGATAATGTAAGATTGAGCCCAGTGATCAACTGGAATGTTCCATTTTGATATAAAGATTAAAAAATTACCAACATAATGGCTGAAACTTCTGAGTGCAAGAAATGGAGAGAGTTTTTTTAGTAGTGAAGAAGCAAGAAGGGATGTACATTGTATATTGGAGATAATGAGAGGGTTGATTATAAAATCCATTTCTTTCTCCTTCTCCGTCGATCATCCACACGCCGCCCCCTCTCTCTCTTTCTCTTTTTCTCCCCCTCTCTCTCCCTCTCTCTCTTTCTCTCCCTGTCTCTCTCTCTGTGTCTCTCTCTTTCCCTTCCTCTCCCTCTCTTTCATTGTTCATTCATACAATTCCCAGGTCGCCGTGCCTGTCCTGGAGAGCAGCTAGCCCGGATGGAGACATTCTTGGGTTTTACAAGCCTCCTTCAACGATTCACCTTCAAGAAACCTGACAACTCACTCACCCTGTTCCCTACATGACATGTGCTGTAGTAAGAGAATGAAAGTGAAAGAAAATCCATTAAAGTTACAGTCATAAGGTACGGTAATAAGGAAACATGGATTCTAAGAGAATCAAAAGGAACCTACACTCAAATTCCAAGGTGATAAATGATATCTGCCAAATGGTTAAGGTACAAAATTACTAAAAGCTAAATAATGAAACAAAAACAGATGTTAAAATCGAGCTGGTCAACCATAGTCATAGGTGGTCATAGTTGTCTAAAGTTATGAATTGAAGTTTTTCAGTTAATGAGCTTGCGGGCAGTCATTGTTACTTGACATTTTCTGGTCCAAATATACAGCATACTGCATTTTAAGCGCTTTTTTTCATCGAAATATAACTCAATCACCACATCTCAAGTTTAGCTGTACCCCTTATAGAAAAGAGATAATGTTTCAAGTTGAAATGTCTTTTTTCTTACCTCTTTTCATGAAATGATTGTGAGAATGTGAATTATTCTTGCTAAATAACGTTGATATCTTCTTGGAACGTTATTGATCAATCTCTGTAACTCATAAGATTGATTAATACAGTTTTTAAAATATATTAACTTTTATCTATTGTCGATATATATATCTCAAAGAGTAGACGCGATGCTTTTAAACGAGCCTATCCATACTTCTAAGATCTTCCAAATTTTGTTGTCACATTGTTGCTCATAATCATAATGTTGTGTTCTTATTACAGGAATCGAGCAGTTCAGGGGAGAAAATAGGGGAGAAAATGTTGCAAGATTATCGTGATCTGATATAGAAAAATGATGCTCGCGTTACTCGTAACTATTGTAACGCCTGGAAATCGAGCAATAATTTAAATGTCACTTCAGTCGAAAAATTTCATTAAAGGGGCACGTTCCCGCCAGTGTAGTTATCACTGCTCTAGTCATCGCCATCTTGGTTCCGAAGATCGACTTCTAATTTGCATACAGCTGTCAATCAAAGTACGCGCGGCCTGGCCTGCCTTCGCCAAGCCAGCTGATCGCTGCCGATTGTGACGCCACGAAAGTGGGTGGAAACAGCAGCCGAATCTTAGAGCCGAACTGCGATTGGTATTACTTCGGCACATGAATGCGATAATAGGCATTGTGCGGGCATTCGGAACATGCCATCTGCGTAAGAGCCGTATTCTGTTGGTGTCAATAGGCAGCTAGCACCGTCCGCCAGCGGGTACGTATTTAGAACGCCCTCTGGAATACGGGGAACATGCCCCTTTAATTGATTATATGTATCATTTCCTTGTTAACTGGCGGATAATAATATGTTAGTAATGAAATGTCTCCTTTTTTTGTGATTTATGTATTTTTTTACTCCCTTTTTACACGTTCGTGACTTTTTTTTGAAAAATCAACTCAAGGGCGATTTCAATACCTGTTGTACATCCCATAGAAACCATGTTCGGGTTTAATACGTCGTTGTCATGTGAGCACATTTTAATAGGTGACGCAAGAGCCTTTTGATATTGCTCTAGGTCGATTTTTCTAAACCAATAGTTCCTTTTCTTGTATAATGTAAACGTCATTGTATAAAATGAATTGCTGTATTGCTATTGATAAATAAATCAACAACACAAATCAAACTATTCTCACCACGAGTGATTTTGTCTTGGAATCACACCCTTAGTAGATGGTATTAGAAGGAGGATGGAGTAGAATAAGATAGGGTGGTAGTAGAGGTAGAATGGCAGTAGAAGTAGGGTGGTAGTAAGGGAAGGATGGTAATAGAATAAGGGGTGGTAGTAGAAGTAGGATTTTACGCACAGATAGAACGGTAATACTAATAGAAGTAAGGTGGTGGTGGTACAGACTACAGGTAGGAATGTGGTAGATGTAGGGTGTTGGTAGGGGTAGGCTGGTGGTAGGGGGTAAATGATGGTAGAGGCAGGCTCGTGGTTGGGGTAGGTGGTAGGTGGAGGTAGGTGGTGGTAGGGGTAAGTGGTGGTGGAGGTAGGCTGGTGGTAGGGGCAGGTGGTGGTGGAGGTAGGCTGGTGGTAGGGGTAGGTGAAGGTGGAGGTAGGCTGGTGGTAGGGGTAGGTGGTGGTCGAGGTAGGTAATGGTGGAGGTAGGTGGTGGTAGGGGTAGGTCGTGATGGAAGTAGGTGGTGGTGGTGGTAGGGGTAGGTGGTGGTGGAGGTAGGCTGGTGGTAGGGGTAGGTGGTGGTGGAGGTAGGCTGGTGGTAGGGGTAGGTGGTGGTGGAGGTAGGCTGGTGGTAGGGGTAGGTGGTGGTGGAGGTAGGCTGGTGGTAGGGGTAGGTGGTGGTGGAGGTAGGCTGGTGGTAGGGGTAGGTGGTGGTAGGGGTAGGTGGTGGTGGAGGTAGGTGGTGGTGGATGTAGGTGGTGGTGGGGGTAGGTGGTGGTGGAGGTAGGCTGGTGGTAGGGGTAGGTGGTGGTGGAGGTAGGCTGGTGGTAGGTGGTGGTGGAGGTAGGCTGGTGGTAGGGGTAGGTGGTGGTGGAGGTAGGCTGGTGGTAGGGGTAGGTGGTGGTGGAGGTAGGCTGGTGGTAGGGGTAGGTGATGGTGGAGGTAGGCTGGTGGTAGGTGGTGGTGGAGGTAGGCTGGTGGTAGGGGTAGGTGGTGGTGGAGGTAGGCTGGTGGTAGGGGTAGGTGATGGTGGAGGTAGGTGGTGGTAGGGATAGGTGGGGGTAGGGGTAGGTGGTGGTGGAGGTAGGTGGTGGTGGAGGTAGGTGGTGGTGGGGGTAGGTGGTGGTGGAGGTAGGCTGGTGGTAGGGGTAGGTGGTGGTGGAGGTAGGCTGGTGGTAGGGGTAGGTGGTGGTGGAGGTAGGCTGGTGGTAGGGGTAGGGGATGGTGGTGGTAGGTGGTGGTAGGGGTAGGTGGTGGTAGGGGTAGGTGGTGGTGGAGGTAGGTGGTGGTGGATGTAGGTGGTGGTGGGGGTAGGTGATGGTGGAGGTAGGCTGGTGGTAGGGGTAGGTGGTGGTGGAGGTAGGCTGGTGGTAGGGGTATGTGGTGGTGGAGGTAGGCTGGTGGTAGGGGTAGGTGGTGGTGGAGGTAGGCTGGTGGTAGGGGTAGGGGATGGTGGTGGTAGGTGGTGGTAGGGGTAGGTGGTGGTAGGGGTAGGTGGTGGTGGAGGTAGGTGGTGGTAGAGGTAGGTGGTGGTGGAGGTAGGCTGGTGGTAGGGGTAGGTGGTGGTGGAGGTAGGTAGTGGTAGAGGTAGGTGGTGGTGGAGGTAGGTGGTGGTGGAGGTATGGAGATGGTAGAATAGGATCGTAATAGGGGTAGGATAGTCTAAGAGGTAGTTAGAGTAGAAGAAGATGTAGGGTGGTAATAGGGGAATGATGGTAGTAGGAGGATGGAGTAGAAGTAGGTTCATATTAGAGGTAGGATGATGGTAGAGTAGTATCGTAATAGGGGTAGGATAGTCTAAGAGGTAGTCAGAGTAGAAGAAGATGTAGGATGGTAATAGAGGATGGGTGATAGAGTGTAACGGCAGTTGAATTAGAAGAACTACTGTATTAGGAAAAAAATACGAGATAAAGAAAGGTAGCAGATGACAGATACAAACACACACGTGCAAACGCACGCACACACATACAAACACACACATACACATATATACGCAAACCCACACACACAAGCTCGCACGACACACATGTACACTCACACGCACAGAAACACACGTATGGCTTGTTGTTAAAAATTGATTGAGAAAATAGATCTATAATATAATAACCTATCTTAGTTACTGTCAAACGTTAATGTCATGTAACAATCATACTAGCTTCAACCTTTTCCACTTTTTTTTCTAGTTCTTGGACGGGGTCACGTTGGATAAAAAGTCCAACATGTTATACTTATCGTACCATAGCCAGACATTGTAAAATCTCTTTTACAAGTTCAGCTATTTATTGCTCAAATGTTCTTATTTTCAATGTTATCTATGCCTTTGTTTGAGCATATAGAAAGTAACACCATCCGGTGTTCGATTTATCCCTCTATTAATTTCATTGACCTTTTTTTTCCTCAAAATGATAGAGTTCAATACTTTTGTTGGCTAGCTGCAAAAAGATAAGCCATGAAAAGTCTCTTTTACTTACTGAATTATATTTTGTCACAAACTTGATAACAAAGATGATATAGTTCATGTAGGGTACACATGAACAATGGTGCGCCCTTTAGTATTTGAAGCGATGCCCAAAACAGGCGCCACTTAATCAAAAGGGAAACCCAAGAGAATTTAACAGAGAATACCAGGCAGAATAATGTACGGTATTTACTTGCAGGGTCGGAACAACAGTGCTTAAATGGCACAGTATAAACTTGTCATCACAAAAATGTGCATGCAACTAGATCCGATCATGCAAAAAACTCAATTGATCTACAACAGACTTGAATTGTGTTTTGTCTCCTTCCAAACAATGTACATAATTATGTTACTTTAATACTGGAATCATAGATGATAAAGTACAGTAACCCTTTACTGAAATGCAAAATACGTCATGTAAGCAGAAAATAAACAAGTCGAGAAGGCTGAAGGCAGCTATCATTTGGTTTTGACGTGTGTCGTTTTTAACGGGTCGACATTCTAAGTACCTGTAAAAATCCTTATTTATTACAATACTTAGCAGTGTTTATCACAAAGCTTTCTCAAATGAATGTATTCAACCGATATGACCACTGAAGTAGAAGGAGCTGGCTAAGGCCTAAGTTGGCAATGGGGGGAAATGTGTTTATTAATATACGAACTTGTCCATTATATTTGTTTGTATTGTATGCATTCAAATGTGTAATCGAGGCAATGCCGTAATTACCTCAGTGTAAACTCATATGAAATTTAAACCGAATTAATGTATGCTGTTCCATGGCCACCTTGGTGCAGATATCTATTTATAATGATAGAATACACATGTTCTCCCCTTTCGTCGGAGGGGGGGGGGGGCGTTTTCATACCTTCTTGGATTGATATTATATACGTTACCTTGCTTTCTCCATTCAATGTGTAACTATGAATCGTGGTAAATATTGATACAAATTCATGTGTATCCGAGTCCAAAGAAGCTGGTTAACGTTCAAAGAGACGCCTTCCAGGCGACCTAGGCTGAGTGTCTTACCCAAGGCCACTACACCATGTTGACTTCTTTTCAACCAGGACTTCCATGAAGAAGACTTTGTAAAAATGTATTTGGTAAGACATGCACTCTCAATGTACTCCAGTCCAATGCACCGGATAAATACTGTTGACAGGAAATAATTCACCATCATATTTACCTCCATTACTGTGATCATCATAATCACTAAAATACTGGACACATCATCGTCGTCGTTAATATCACAATTTTGTCCTCACATTCCCTCATTATTTTACCATAACTAGTGCCATAATCAGAGTTAGTAATTATTTTTTTCATGAATAATTCAACTATTAAAGGATATGAATCAGCGTCCTCCACGCATCGTTTAAGCATTTTATTTTGTAGTAAGATACGTCATTAGGGGGCAAATTTATGCTTCGTTATATAATACGAGTTGTCTCATAAAACATGTAAAACATGAACTGTTTGTCCATCTTTGTGCCAGACGATTTCCCTCCTTGAAAATGTTTCTACGTAGTCTGAAAGTATGTATTACAGTGGAATAGGAATGGCAGATATTTCCACCCTTTATTTTAGAGTGAAAGGGAAGGGGGGGTCAAAAATGCACTCGCTTTATATTTATTGAAATATTAATGATTGCCCCCCCCCCAAAAAAAAAAAAAAAAAAAAAAAAAAAGGAGGAATGAGAGGATCCTAACGGTGGAATAGGAATGGCGGATATTTCAATTACGATTTAGTTCACTGCACAGGACTTTGGAACTTGTTGCAAACTACAAAAATAACAACTGCACACTGCGAGAAAGAAAACCCAAGTGTATGGTGCCTGCTTAATGCTAGTAACATGCATAATGCGATAGTTGCATTAGAAGTACGACTGTAGTAGAAAAAAGTACGAGATATATAGAAAGGTAGCAGATGAAGGATTCCCACACACACACACACACACACACATACACGTATGGGTAGCATTCCACCGTTGTTGAAAAGTGATTGAGAAAATCGATCTATGATATAAAATAATAACCTTTATTGTGGACACTGTCAAATGTTAATGTCATGTTATAATCATACTGGTGATAACCTTTTCTACCTTTTTTTAATTCTTGAACGGGATCACGTGGGATAAAAGCCCAAAACTGATACTTATCGTACCAAAGCCAGCAATTTTAAAATCTCTTTTTCATGTTCAGCCTTTTATTGCTCAAATGTTCCTATTTCTAATGTTATCTTTACCTTTGGTTGAGCATATAGAAAGTAAAACTATCCGGTGTTCGATTCATCCCTCTCTACATTTCATTCACCTTGTAACGATATTTTCCCCCTCAAAATGATAGATTTCAATACTTTTTGTTGGCTAAGTGTAAAGGAATAAGCAATGAAGTCACTTTTAATTAGTGAATTATATTTTTAAACATTTGTGCAAGACGATTTCTCTCCTTGAAAATGTTTATACGTTGTCTGAATGTATGTCTCCGTGAAAAGACGAACAGAAGGAACGTTTGAACCCTATATTTTAGAGCGAAAGGGAAGGGGGGGGGGGGTCATAAATGCACTCGCTTTATATGTATTGAAATATTGATTATTGCCCCCCCCCCCTAAAAAAAAAGGAATAATGAGAGAAGCCTAACAGTGAAAAAGAAATGACGTATATTTGAATTACGATTTAGTTCACTGCACAGGACTTTGGAACTTGTTGAAAACGACAACAATAACAACTGCACATTACGAGAAAGAAACCCAAGTGTGGTGTATGCTTATGCTAGTAACATGCAGAATGCAACTGGTGTATCTGCTACAAAAGATTTCGAATCTTAACCGTAATAATTCAAGTAGAGCGTTCCAGTATGGTCAGGAGACCGTCACTGAAAATCTCATAAATCATGGATCTGATGTGGAGAAGGCGACTTCTGATGAACAAACACCCTAACATCTTGTTGCACCACTCGGACATCTGAAAGCAACGAAAGTAATATACCCAGCCATGGAGCTAGAATGGACAAAAGAGAATCAGGGCTCTGCTAAATACATGACTCCTTTAGCAGCAATGTACGGTGATCTTGATGACACCAAGCATCTCATCAGTCTAGGAGCTTTGGTAAATAAGGGAAATGATGACAGCTGGGCTGCATTACACAGTGCTGCTCATGAGAGTCATCTTGATATTCCCAAATATCTCATCAGACGAGAAGCTTTTGTGAATAAAGGAGATAATGACAGCTTGGCTGCATTACTCATGGCTGCCTTCAGTGGTCAACTTGATGTCACCATATATCTCATTAGTGAAGGAGCTGAGGTGAATAAGGGAGATATTGCCGGTACGACAGCATTACACGTTGCTGTTCATGAGGGTCATCTTGATGTCACCAAATATCTCATCAGTCAAGGAGCTTTGGTGAATAAGGGAGATAATGACGACTGGACTGCATTACACATTGCTGCCTACAGAGGTCATCTTGATATAACCATATATCTCATTAGTCAAGGAGCTGTGGTGAATAATGGAGAGATTTCCGGTTGGACAGCGTTACACCTTGCTGCTCAGAAGGGTCATCTTGATGTCATCAAATATCTCATCAGTCAAGGAGCTGAGGTGAATAAGGGAGATAATTACGGTGTGACAGCATTATACTGTGCTGCTCGTGAGGGTCGTCTTGATGTCACGGAATATCTCATCAGTCAAGGAGCTGAGGTGAATAAGAGAAATGAAGGCGGTTGGACAGCATTACACATTGCTGCTTATCAAGGTCATCTTGATATCACTATCTATCTCATCTATCAAGGAGCTGTGGTGAATAAGGGAGATATTTCCGGTAGGACAGCGTTACACAGTGCTGCCATCAGAGGTCATCTTGATATCACCAAATATCTCATCAGTCAAGGAGCTGAGGTGAATAATGGAGAGATTTCCGGTTGGACAGCGTTACACCTTGCTGCTCAGAAGGGTCATCTTGATGTCATCAAATATCTCATCAGTCAAGGAGCTGAGGTGAATAAGGGAGATAATTACGGTGTGACAGCATTATACTGTGCTGCTCGTGAGGGTCGTCTTGATGTCACGGAATATCTCATCAGTCAAGGAGCTGAGGTGAATAAGAGAAATGAAGGCGGTTGGACAGCATTACACATTGCTGCTTATCAAGGTCATCTTGATATCACTATCTATCTCATCTATCAAGGAGCTGTGGTGAATAAGGGAGATATTTCCGGTAGGACAGCGTTACACAGTGCTGCCATCAGAGGTCATCTTGATATCACCAAATATCTCATCAGTCAAGGAGCTGAGGTGAATAATGGAGAGATTGACGGTGAGACAGCATTACACTTTGCTGCTTATGGGGGTCATTTTGATGTTATTAAATATCTCATTAGTCAAGGAGCTGTGGTAAATAATAATAAAAATGACGGTAAAACAGCATTACACATTACTGCTTTTCACGGTCATCTTGATGTCACCAAATATCTCATCAGTCAAGGAGCTGAGGTGAAAAAGGTAGACAATGACCGTAGAACAGCATTACACTGTGCTGCTCAAGAGGATCATCTTCAGATCACCAAATATCTCATCAGTAAAGGAGCTGAGATGAATAAGGGAGGCAATGACGGCAGGACAGCATTACACATTGCTGCTCAGGAGGGTCATCTTGATGTCACCAAATATCTCATCAGTCAAGGAGCAGAGATGAATAATAGAGACAATAAAAGTATGACAGCATTACAAGTTGCTATTCATAAGGGCCATCTTGATGTCACTAAATATCTCATCAGTCAAGGAGCTGAGGTGAAGAAGGGAGATAATGACGGTGGGACAGTATTACACATTGCTGCTCAGGAGGGTCATCTTGATATCACCAAATATCTCATCAGTCAAGGAGCAGAGGTGAATAATAGAGACGGTACCGGTTCGACACCATTACACATTGCTGCCTTCACTGGTCATCTTGATGTCGCGAAATATCTCATCAGTCAAGGAGCTGAGGTGAATGAGGGAGATAATTACGGCAGGACTGCTTTACACACTATTGCTTTCCGTGGTCATCTTGATGTCACCAAATATTTCATCAGCCAAGAAGCTGATGTGAATAAGGAAGATAATGACGGTATAACAGCATTACACATTGCTGCTCGGGAGGGTCATCTTGATGTCACCAAAAATCTCATCAGTCAAGGAGCTGACATGAATAAGGGAGGCAATGACGGCAGGACAGCATTACACAGTGCTGCCCTCGGTGGTCATCTTGATGTCACCAAATATCTCATCAGTCAAGGAGCAGAGGTGAATAATATAGACAGTAACGGTATGACAGCATTACAATTTGCTACTCATAAGGGCCATCTTGATGTCACTGAATATCTCATCAGTCAAGGAGATATTAACGGTAGGACAGTATTACACGTTGCTGCTAATAAGGGTCATCTTGATGTCACCAAAAATCTCATCAGTCAAGGAGCTGAGGTGAATAAGGAAGATATTAACGGCAGGACTGCATTAAACAGTGCTGCCTCAAGTGGTCATCTTGATGTCACCAAATATCTCATCAGTCAAGGAGCTGATGCGAATACAAGAGATAATGACGGTAGGACAGCATTACACGTTGCTGCTCAGAAGGGTAATACTGATGTCACGAAATATCTGATCAGTCAAGGAGCTGAGGTGAATAATGGAGATATTAACGGCTTGACTGCATTACACAGTGCTGCCTTTAGTGGTCATCTTGATGTCACCAAATACCTCATCAGGCAAGGAGCTGATGTGAATAACAGAGAAAATCACAATTGGACTGTATTATACCTTGCCGATACAGAGGGCTACCTTGACGTCACCAAATATCTCATCAGTCAAGAAGCTGATGTGAATTACAGAGAAAATCAGAGTAGGACTGCATTACACCTTGCCGCTCAAAAGGGCCATCTTGATGTCACAAAATATCTCATTAGTCAAGGAGCTGAGGTAAATAAGGGAGATAATGACGGAAGGACAGCATTACACGTTGCTGCTCGGAAAGGTAATACTGATGTCACCAAATATCTCATCAGTCGAGGAGCTGATGTGAATAAGGAAAAAAATGATGGTTGGACTGCATTACACATTGCTGCCTTTAGTGGTCATCTTGATGTCACCAAATATCTCATCAGTCAAGGAGCTGAGGTGAAGAAGGGAGATAATGACGGTAGGACAGCATTTCACGTTGCTGCTCAGAAGGGTAATACTGATGTCACGAAATACCTCATCAGTCAAGGAGCTGAGGTGAATAATGGAGATATTAAGGGCTTAACTGCATTACACATTGCTGCCTTCAGTGGTCATCTTGATGTCGCGAAATATCTCATCAGTCAAGGAGCTGAGGTGAATGAGAAAGATATTAACGGCAGGACTGCTTTACACACTGCTGCTTTCCGTGGTCATCTTGATGTCACCAAATATTTCATCAGCCAAGGAGCTGATGTAAATAAGGAAGATAATGACGGTTGGACTGTATTACAACCTGTCGCTCAAGAGGGCCATCTTGATATCGCGAAATATCTCATCAGTCAAGGGGCTGAGATGAATAAGGGAGGCAATGACGGCAGGACAGCATTACACAGTGCTGCCTTCGGTGGTCATCTTGATGTCACCAAATATCTCATCAGTCACGGCGCTGAGGTGAATAAAGGAGATAATGACGGTAGGACTGCAATACACAGTGTTGCATTTAGTGGTCATCTTGATGTCACGAAATATCTCATCAGTCAAGGAGCCGAGATGAATAAGGGAGGCAATGACGGCAGGACTGCATTACACAGGGCTGCCTTCCATGGTCATCTTGATGTCACCAAATATCTCATCAGTCACGGCGCTGAAGTGAATAAGGGAGATAATCACGGTACGACAGCATTACACAGTGCTGCCTCTAGTGATCATCTTGATGTCGCCAAATATCTCATCAGTCAAGGAGCTGAGGTGAATAAGGGAGATAAAATCGGTTGGACATCATTACACATTGCTGCTTTTGAGGGTTTTCTTGATATCACCAAATATCTCATCAGTCAAGGATCTGATTTGAATAAGGGATATATTAACGGCAGGACTGCACTACACTGTGCTGCCGTCAGTGGTCATCTTGATGTCACCAAATGTCTGATCATTCAAGGAGCTGAGGTGAATAAGGGAGATAATGTCGGTACAACAGCATTAAACGTTGCTGCTCATAAGGGTCATCTTGATGTCACAACATATATCATCAGTGAAGGAGCTGAGGTGAATAAGGGAAATAATGATGGTAGGACCCCTTTACATCATGCTGTTCAGAATGTTCACATTAATATTGTTAAAGTCCTTCTGGAAGGAGGAGCACGTTCTGACACAGGAGACATTGATGGTCATACGCCTCTACAAATGTCTACATTCCAAGGGTACCAAAGCATCGTTGATCTATTCATCGACCGTTCAAATTCCAAGGTAAAAATATTAAAAAACCACTATATGTCGAATTCATCTATTCTGATTTATTTATTACATGCATGTAGAATGACAAGTTCTTTAACTGAATTCAGTGGACATCAGGCAGGTTAGGCAAAGGCTACCTATCGCCATGTATTTAGAATTGACCACCTCCATTCTTATTACATTTGGGGACCACTTTTGTATTCTTAAGCATACATACTGTTTCATAACATTTTGTCAACACACATGTGTGTCACATATCATAAGGATTGCTTTAACGGTTAACTTATCACTGAATAATTCTTCACCTGCAACTGCTTGATTTGATCGAACTTTACCTTTCATAGCAGTTTTTAAATTAAAACTTCAAGTTTTCTCTTATATCCAGCTCGACAAGAGGGATTTAACGGATATCCAACTTGCAATCCAAGACGGTCATACATCCACTATTGAGAAGTTAGTTTCTGAGGGAGCTGATATCAATGCCCAGTCAACTGATGGCCAGACGTGTCTCCATAGAGCCATTAAACTTTGCTATAAGAGCGACAAGAGTATGCATGACTCGGATACACTTCAAGAGGTGAGTTGTACTCCAGTAACACAAACGAGACCGACACCAAACCGACAAAAGTCTGAACAACAAATTAGGTTACGGCTAAATATTGGTCAGTTTTGGAGCCGACATGGAGTCGTTATGGCGGAGTCACTGACATAAACTGCTCATGTAGGTCATTAGGGAATCCTACAATATGATACTCGTGATTGGCCAAAGAAAATGTGTATGTTGGTGTCTGGGCGTGTGTTTGTGTGTGTGGGGGAAATTTACAACGTAAATATGAATGTTCACAACTGTGAATCCAAGAGGCAGCGTTAAAATATACGTATGGTGCTCATCCACCCTGAATATCGATGGACGATACTGTTCTAGTAAAAAAGCATATACGTTTTTATATTTCAGATCTCTGATGAGTATTGCAAGGGCGAACTATCTCCTGAAAAGGCCTTGGTGTTTTATCTTCTAGAGAATGGAGCCAAGTTAGATGTGAGGGACAAGAATGGCAACCTACCAATCCAATATGCCAAGGACGAAGTTGTCAAACAGATGATTTTGTCGAGGTGATACTTTAAAGTCTAAAATAATAACATTTTGGTCCCGTCATTTGTAAAACAAAAGATTTATCAAAACCCAAGGAAATAATGCATTTGTTCATCTTCCACTTTTGAGATTTTGGTAATAGAATTTTTTTAAATTAAAAAGTCTAGCCTTATTGTAAAGCTTAACAGTTGATTATAAATGTGTTATTCAAACAATAAACAAATAACAGGGGGCACGTGCCCTCCCCCCCCCCCCCCGACCCCCGGATTTTGTAAAAGTTGTATTTGACCGCATTACCAGGTCAAAACATGTTTGTTTTTTGTTTTTCCTAGACAATGCTAAGATTAGAGTCTCTTATTTTAAATAATGGGCCTCGATAAGTGTCTGACATTTAACAGCTTTTCGATTCATGTCAATATAATTTATGTAATTATTCATAAGTGAATACAAATACACGTTTCCACAGCACAAATTGTATGGAAATAACTTTTCGACTTTATTACATCTGCACTGATTAATTTCAGATTACCTTCTTTAGAGGAGATCCAGTCTTATCGAGGTAAGAACATCCTTCAAACACAAACAGCTTTTCTCAGTGTAAATACTACTATTGCGTCGATTTCTTTCTTATCCATTAAGTCACAGATTAAAGTCTAGCGATGACTATATTTCAGTTTGCAATCCCGAAGAACAAGGAATTTAAGAATTCATTGTCTGGGCCATTTATTTTGTCGCACTCCCAACTCGCTCACGTACTCCCAACAAAAACTGCATTCGTATTCATGTATGAAGAACAAAGTGTCGGGTTTCCAGCAATGACCCTAATACTAGAGATGGACGTTTAATGACCAGATAACAAGCAAATGGATATAAATAAAGAAGCAATATCGATAATACGTTATTGATTTACCATTGACCCTGATTCAAATACAGTATTACAAACCAGGAGGGAATGTCAGTGGTTGGGTAAATAACTCAACCGTTGCAGTTGTAATAACGTGAATCCTTTTTTTGAGCAGAAATGAGATGACAACTTTATTTATAGATATATTGGTAAATCATTCCACTGACTATCCCGATCTGAATTTACAGTTACTTTGTCGATTATGTCCGTTCTTATTATTGTGTCATTTCCTTATGTTTGACATAAATAACAGATGGACCATCAACTCCTTCCATCGTCTCAGTTGAAGTCGAAATGAATACCAGTCAGGAAATCGAAATCGAAGACCATGGCGTATCACTGTATATCCCTCCAGAGGCTGTTCATCAGAGTGACCCGTGCACGATCACTTTAACCCTCTTACGAGACCATCCCAGTGTTGACATCAAAGATGATGAATCAGTGGTCTGCTACGGGATCAGATGTGATCCTCCAAACATGATCTTCGACCAACCTGTTAAGATCAGGATACCACACTATTCCTTAGTCATGAACCCTGATCGAGTGAAACCAGATATTGTCTCCCGTGTCTGGGATTCAGTCAAGGGTAAATCTGTTTGGTCAGATTAAGAGAATCACCTTGGGATAAACGCAAATTGATGCACCGAGATACACTATTATCATTTGTAACATATTGTAGAGCAAGCGCCATGAGCGCCCATCTGGGGCCAGCACCGGCGCTTTAAAGAAGCCATCATCATCATCATCATCATGTTAAACCAATTGATTTTTAAAAATGAAATCTAATATATTGTCTTCCTCTTCGCTAGTAGTACAGGCCAGCGCCGCCATCGGTTGTATTCTTAAAGATAATCAGCCTTCCCCCTTTAATCCTAACTTCTGATTTTGATCTGGGAGTTAGTAGTTAAGCTCTAAGTATCGGCCTAATCACAGTGCCGAAATTTCATGAGGAACAATTTGCAACTAACATGTATTTGTAGTAACTTTCAGTAAAGGGGAAAGGGTTAAGGGGTAATGGATGCTTTTTAATATGGCTTCTTAAATTTAAAACCATTTAAAATAATTATTCTTCACAAGAACATCCACTATAGATATAAATATTTGATGTCAGTATACATCTGCGGTCTCATTGTTAAAGGGACAAATCGGCCTCATGGCGAAAGAGCATTCCTCCACACATAAACACATTTTGTTTTGTTACCCACTAACACCAGATATAACGAGAACATCAAGACAACGATCATCCAGCTCACCAGCCGAACCACCATACTGTAGAGTGTACAGAAGACATCTTGAGCTGTACATTGGTCACTGTGCTGAGTGGTGGGTTCTCATTCCTCTCGAACAGCAGGTGATCCGACAACAGCTTATGTGCACCCCATACATCCCTGACAAGATAGAGAGAGGCAAAGAGTTTGAAGTTCACCTGCAGATGCATGCGGACCTTCCTGGGATCGAAACGGTCAGTAAATAGCATGTGATTATTAACTTCTCCGCAACGTTTCACCAGTGCTTATCCTGGCTTCTTCTGAAAGTCTGATTTCTGTTCTAGTGGAAGCCCGTCTTATTGATTTGATTTGATTTGATTTATTTATTTCTGTTTGATTTTCTTTTTCTTTTGCATTTTTACAAATATATAACAAACAAATATTGCAAATTTACACATGACAAAAGAATATATGTAGAATAAAGTAAGGCTGGCTGTAACTAATCGAAAACATCAAACAGGAGGGTTGACAAAGTAAGAAAAGCTTGATAGTATGACTACCCTCAAAGGATACATAATAATACAAATATGGAGAAACAAAATATTGGTAAAGGGAAAAAGACAGAAAAAAGAAGAAAACAGAAAGAAAGAGGGGATGCACATCAATATTCACAGACTTATGTGGTAGTTGGATTTCAATTTGATATATAAAGATTAAAAAAAAAGAAAATGCAAATTCGAATATTGAGTGGGATATAATAGAAGGAGAAGACTCGCAATGAATGGAAGTCTTCATGAAACTATAAAGGAATCAAAGTTAATTATTATTCGTTTACATGATACAATTAAAAAATGCAATGCTATAATAATAATAATAATAATAATAATAGTGGCTACTTGTATAGTGCACAGGTCCACCTGCTATCATATCTTTTCCCGTATGAAGCACCCCAGTAAGGCTCTTCGTTGGAATCCTCTGACGTATGGTTCTTAACATGACCGTCTGGTCATCTTCATCCGAATCTAACTACAAAATATTAAACACGCTACACAAGCGCGCAGCATATATTGTAAGTGGATATACTTGGGAAACCTCATCCGAAACAGTTTTTCGAATACTAGCCTGGCCTACTCTAAAAGAACTGTTTGACAAGTCAATATCATGCATGGTGTATAAATGTGTAAGTGGGGTAGCACCATCCCAGTTAAGTAGTAAATTTGTTCTAAATGACAATGTCTCTACATGTGTAACACGAAGCACCAACATGTTGTTATTACGTATCCCTCAATGCAAAATTCAATTTTATCAAAGGACATTTGTACCAGTTAGTGTAAATGAATAGAACTGTTTGTCCGATGAATGCCGATCTGTCCAGTCCTTAGCCATTTTCAAAAAATTGTATCAAACCTGGCAATAAATAGCTCTTTTTTTAATGAAGGTGGAGGAGGGGGTTGCAATGAGGTCAAATTCATTTTATGCTTGATTTTAATGTAATTTCTATTTTGTAAACAGGTGGTAAACAGGTGTGTGTGTGTGTGTGTGTGTGTTAGCTTTCGTTACCCTTGTCATTTCTATATATAATATTGTTCATTGTCATTTTTATGTTGTTTTTAAACAGAGCCCTGTTGTAAACCAGCCTATTTTAATGTTTTTAACAATGTCTTGTAATAATTTTATAGCTGAACATGTTACTCTGTATAAAGATGCGAAATAAATAAATAAAATAAATAAACATACGTCCCCAATGAATTATACGATTGTCCGTGTCTTTCATCTACATAGAGCCCTTCTTATAAATCAAGACACAGCCCGCATTTATTTGCACAAGTAATATCAACCAATTTTGTGTTCACGCAATTGATCATTCTCGTAATGTAATCAAAATTAATCTTTGTATAGTGCCCCGTTGCAAATTATTATACGAATAATTGTAATTTCAATAGTAAGAATGCGGATTGCATACATTGATTGTTGCTATGTAGGATAAAAACATTACGGCTTGTCCTACCAAACATTACGTAATGTATGCAATTCGGATTTTGACTATTGAAATACAATTATTCATAGCAGGTGAATGAAATAATTTGTAACAAGACACTTAACAAATATTCATGCATTAAATTTGATCCATTACGAAAAGGGTGCATAGGTGATTTTTTTTTTTTTGGCCAAACACTTGAATTGTTAAAAGAAAAATTATTGAACCTTCCAATTTTTCTAGGAGTATGGATGTTTTAAGAACCGTGATTTTTCAATGCCAAGAAGCAATTAGAACCACTTCATTGCGGTTTCTCATGAAAGTCTATCGACGGTACTTCATCTCTTCCTTTGTAATAGGATATACGACAGGAGAAGAAACAACAGTCGTACCACAAGAGCCATCGCTCTGTCCCCTTCAGTGTTGAATCTAAGTCTGGTGACGTCACAGTGACGTGTCATCGTGAGGGCAGACAAGTTGAAAGCAAGGTAATCAGAACTCAAAAGGATCTATATGACGTGTTAATGTTTACTATAATAATCTGTAGCAAATATATAACTTTTTTATTTTCATAGCAAAGGCTTTATTTGATGATAAAGCTGTTTTTTCTTTCTTATGAAAATGTATTCTCACGTTTTACCGTTCTTACCTCTGAAATGTTTCCCTCTGACATTTTTTATGTGACACTATTACCGGGCAATTTTAGTTAAACATTTCCTTTCCATGTTTGATGAAGTTATCCGACATAAACATCATCGTATTGATGCGTAAGGTTTGATGGAGATGCAGTTCACACCAAGGAGGAAGAGAGGGGCATTTACCACCAATCATAAAACTAAATGCTTATCATACGCACTCCCCTAATTGGTGCATTTGGTACTCCGAGGGAATTTATCCATGGTAAACTCAATCGCATCTACTTAAACAAAAAAAATCAGTTACAGGAAATTTTAATATCCTCGTATGACACTTATTGAAATGTGTGAATTGTGCAATTATGACCAATAGTTGAACATGCTTTTCATGGGATACAAAATAGGGTATCGAAATCGCTCTTGAGCTGATTTATCGAAAATTGTTGTGATAGTATTGGTTACACGAGATGCTATGGATAAATTTACACATCTCGATTTTTTTGTTGTATTTTTCCTCGTAATGACATCGTTTTAAATTTAGTATTGTTATTTTTCTTTTTATTGCCATATCATAGGTTCTTTCTTTGAAGGATGTTTATGGAAAGATTAGACACAACATATTGTTGTCCGTGACTCCTACTGAAGATGATGAAGACTTCACACGGATAACTATTACGATTACACAGGCTGGAAGGCTATGGGCGTCACGAACCATTGCTTTTATCATCAGACACACAGGTACAGTTTTTCTTCATCATATTTGTGCACAAAATGACAAATTATCAGTTAGTTCATGGTCAATAACTTGTAATAACTAGAACACTTTGTAGAATCA